ATCTGTTAAAGTTATTTCATTTACGTACGATCTAACATAGAGTTAGAAAGATTGTTCTACCAATTGCTATAATTTACTGGAAATATTATGTAAGAATAATTGGGGTCCTTTCGGACCCTCCAAAAATTGCCATAGCCCACGGTATTTCACGTGGTCTCGGCGGGGTATTGGTAAAAGTTTTCAACTAGCAATAATCGCACCTCGGAAGAACCTCATTGGTTACGATATCGCCACTGCGCAAAGCTAGTGAACAGGTAAGGGCGAGTTTATTATATCCTAAGACTGACAGTACAATGCAGCGTGTGTTACGGACCCTACGACCCTAACATGCAAATGCTTACCGCCATCTTACCGCCTTATTCCAAATTGACAAAAAAAAAAAAAAATAAAGTGGAATCAATAATCTGCTCAACTTTATATACACAGATTTGTTTTCTGAAAGTCATACAAATTATAAACAAATTTTTCATAATATTTGAAATACATATATAGCAAATCGGATTTGCTCCTTAAAACATAAACTCCTCCTTCGAAATGATGAGTGGTGGTTATAAGTTTAAACGTACTTTTCAAAGTGATATACAGTGAACCTCGATTATCCGGACCTCCATTATACGGATTTGCGATTATCCGGACTACTACCAACCGCGACAGAGTTTAAGTATGTACATACCTACAATTAGAATTTTTGCACGATTTATGCTGCAGTTTAGTATATGTATGTAATATAATCTAAGAAATTATATATGTGTATATACATAAGGAAATGTTAATTTCTTATTAAATATTGATTTTATTGATGTATGTTTTGTTATTCTTCATACATTAGATTATCCGGATTTTCGATTATCCGGATGCCTATCTACAACAATTAGCCCGGTTAATCGAGGTTCTACTGTATCTTTAAAACAGTGGATCGGCAGGAAAAAAGTACTGAAACATTTTTTGTAGATAATTTTATGCTATACAATTCTATCTCGTATAATTTTACGCTATACAATTCAATGAGGACTTATGAGATTTCTTTTATATTTGTATTTCAAACAGTTTTACGAAGTTATAGATCTTTATGAATTATTGTAACCTTCACCCTGATTTTTGGTTTGAATTGACCGGGCTAAATAACTCTTGGGGAAGTTGAGGAACCAACAGACACTGATAATAAAAAAATGCGTATATCTTATTCAAATTATGAATAAAGAAGTTTGGTTGAGTATAATTTATCATAAGGTTACAATCTAAATAATAAAAAAATACTTTACAATCTCTGCTCATCCCGACTTGCAAGCACTTTTTAAAACGGCAATATTGACAACGATTTCTATTTAATCGAATCACAAGACACTTGCCGTCTCTTAAGCAACGATATTTTCTATCTGTTTTTGAATGCTCCTACGAAAAAATCCCTGAAATTAAAAAAAATATAATTAATTATTCACATTATAACACAACTTTATAAATGCTAATGATGATTTCGGATAAACAGTGAGGATGATTACAA